TTAAAGATAAAGATCAGTGGTGATGGAGCAGCATTAACAAAGAAAAGTAGTCTACTTGTATGCTCGTTTGGGATTATTGATGATGGAAACTTAATGATGTCTAGCCTGGGTAATCATTCACTGAAGAATTGTATAAGTCAATATGAAAAAGTAACAAAATATACATGCTACAACAACTGTGTTTTAACAAATTTTTGCTCTTGATTTTCCTCTTTTACACAGGAAATCACACAATTGCTGTGGTGCAAACACACTCATTCTCTGGTAACGTGTGCAACTGTGCTTGAAAAATGTGTAAAAATCAAAGTCAACAGTGAACAGTGCGTCATATCTCATCTTGTTCTCCACAATATCAAGATTATATTTTGAAAACGGGACCTTGTTATGTTCAATATGTAAAACGTTATAGTTCTTAGTCTGAACCTATATGATCTTTCAAAATGTAAGTCTTTTTGTCACTTACTGTTGGATAAAAGTGAGTCCCAGACCTGGTGGTTAGTGTTTTCTGAATTACTTTTATTTTAATAAGTATTCCACAAACAGGGTTTCGTCAAATTTGCTTCAACCAACAACTTTACACGCTTTTTACTATGAAAAAATCAACTTCATATTCATTACATTCTACAGATATTTTTAAAATTTCATCTCTCCTCTAGTTACTTTCCTCTAAAGTGTTTCTTATTCTAGTTCTAAGATCGTTTCTAACCTAAATACCATGTATATAGAGTATGAATAGCAAGCAATATATAGTCCTTTGCAATGAGTCGTGTGCAAAGTTGTGGTCGTTGATATTTCTAAGGTAACGTAAATGACATACTATTGTAACGTAAGTGACTTTTTGTTTGTTGTGTATCTTACGACACCTACATTACACAAGGTTGTTTTAAACATCTTAGATAACACAGCTAAATCATATTAAATGTTAGGCTAAGTTTTTTGTTTCTTTTCTTGATATTTAACAAAAGTAACGTAAATGACAAAATTTGAACGATTTAGAGGACACAAGTAATATTCACCAATTTATGCATAATCAAGTCTGAAACTAAATAAAGAATTGTTTTTTTGACATAATAGAACAAATAGATTATTCAAGTGCTGCTTGTATAGTAGCGGTGAAGCCAAGTTAAGAGCAGGTACTTAAATAAAGACTAAACCTGGCATCAATTAGCTCCAAAGTTGCTTGCGACAGATTAAAAGTTTTGCGTCTTTTTCCAATCTGGGTTGGTGGCTCTACGACGCAAAGGATGTCAGCTTTCATAATCCAGATGATGTCTTCTTTATTTGGCCATCGGAACTTGTAAGCTTGCAGATTTGTCCCCTCTCTAGTCATAAAGCTGACATTGGCTGTGTCGTTGGTTTGGTCGATTTCCTTCACCTCGCCGACATATCATTCCCTGTCGTACACGGCAGCAACATACTCTCCTGTCTTCAATGTAAGCTCATTTTGAACTGATGACGTGCTGGGTTGGGAAATGGTGAACTTTTTCCAAGTACACTGGCTCTGCTGAGGATTTTGAAGGCAATCTGAGCAGTAGCAGGAAGTTGACCTTGCCATGATCTTCTCTGGATTTGTAGAAGCAACAGCATGAAAGGACATTGTTCCAGGAACTGTCTCAACGTTGCTGTACTTACTCAATGCCTCAGACGCGGAATTATAGTCGTCTTTGGTGTAATATAGATACCTCACAGATGAAGATGCTTCCTTTGCCCAAGCAAAGAAACTTTGGGCATCGTCTATTACAACCTTTTCGTTTCTTACGGCTTCATCAGCCATCCTCTTGGCACAGCCCCCTACTCCATCGCATGGACCCTTTCCATGGCCTGCCTCAAAGTAGTTCCACGTAGCTGGAAACCCAAACTCCGCAGTATGGTTGGCTGTTATTGCGAAGATTGTTTTGTTCCGGTACTGCGACGTAGGGCTGTCAGTCCAGTAGTGGGCATGGGCAATGTTTGGGAGCAGCTCTTTCAGATGTGGATTCAATTTGCAGAGGATTGTGTAGACGGCAGTGGCTTTGTGAGAGAGCTCATCTGAAATGAAGACAAAGCTGGCATGCTGGAGATCTTCTTGGCCATCTTTCTTATAATAGGCCACTACTGGATGTAGCGATACCATTGTTGGCCCATTCCAAAATGCGCTTTGTATTTCTTCGCAGGACTGGCAGCAGTAATTCTCGGCAAAATCCATCTGGAGGATTACATGACCATCGGGAAGGTTACATTTCAGCTGACGCAACTGTTTATATTGCTCATGATGACGGCTCACATGTTGTCGGAATTTTTTCACGTCATCAACTACTTTCTTTATATAATCTTTCTTCTTCGCTTTTGTTGAAATTATTTTCATTCTTTTTTTCCCTTCTTCCTCGACTCTTACCCACTGATCATAAATAATTTCATCATCTTTGTTCAGAGTTGACAAAATTTCCAGCACTTCCTCGTCATTTTTCTCTTTTATAAGCATATCAGGGTTACCATTCGTAATCATCTTCTTGTTTTTGAGAGGACGGATCAGTAGCGCCATGTTCTGATGCTTTTGACAGAGGCAGGTGTCACGTGAAGCAAAGCTGACAAGTTGCATGTATCATGGTCGCATCCTGTAAAATGCTGCGTGTGATATCGAAACTGTCGGATTTTCAGCCAGGTATTTGACCCTCAGGTTGTAAAGATAATCGCTCAGAATTCTCTTTTGTACCTTCTTAGCTCCACACTTTTTAGCATCATTTTTTCCAGGCATCATACGACTATTATCATCGCGCTCTAGAAAGGAGACAACGCTTTTTCTAAGGTGTTCCCGAGCTTCACGAAGACGCGCTTTCTTGGTGACAAATAATCGCTTGTTTTTAGCTCTCTGTAGGTGGTTTCTCGAGATCCCCATTTCTTTATTCATATAGCTTATCACCTTGTATTTCTTGGCAATCCTACCACTAATAACATTTCGAACTGTCCTCGATCCAGTTGTTCCTTTGTTCTTCTTTGCAGTATYACGAATCTCATCTGTAAGCACGTTTGAAAAGATAAGCCTTTTCTTCAATGAGTCTGGAAACTCCTTTGGTTTAAGACCTGCCTCCTTTATTTGTGCCTGTGTTCGCGATCTGGGASTCATCTGATCGGTGGCAGTGTTAGCACGTTTATCTTGAGCCTTGATGAGCCTCTCATTTCTTTTCTGGATTTTCTTGTTTTTCTTCTCGAGGCTTGCTATACGGTCTTCTAGCATTTCTATTTTCTTGTTTTTTTCCTTTAAAAATTTCCGCCTTTTCGCGCTTTGACGCACAGCAATTTTTACTTTCAATGGAGGATCTTCATCCTTGTCTTCTTGCGAGGTCCGTTTCCTCTTCCTACTTTTACGCTTGCTTTCTCTGTTCTTTTCCCTTCTTTCCGCTAATTCCTGGGAACTTAGTTCTGAAGATGGTCGATAATATTTCAAAACGCGCTCCGATTCTCTTTTTTCAAAATTCTTATCTTTTTCCTTCTTCCTTTCTCTATATGCTTTTTGAATTTCTGCGCGACTTTTCGGCATTTTTAAATTCCTAAACATTAACAAAAATGAATAAATTTATTAAATTGAACTTCGAACGAAGTGTTTCTGTGATAAATCTAGGCTCAGGTAACTTATTTTGCTTAATAACTACGCTATCAAATAGAATTTTATTAGGAAATGAGCTCGAGAATACTAGGTCATTTACGTTACCGTCACGTCATTTACGTTACGTGACTTTAAAACACGTGTGTGAGTCAAACTTGAGAGAAAATTTAGAGTTCTAGGGTTTCTATAAAACATTTTACATTACTATAACATATCTTAAACTTTAATTCATCGAGGGGGGTTATAATTACCTCAGGAAGAGCAGTCTTTTCCGAGATGTCACAAAATGTTGATGTAGAAGTCTTACTATCGATACTATTCGCTTGTTCAGTCGCACAAAGAGGTCTTTCTGGCTTTGATCACGCAATTTAATAAATGACATATTAGATCCTGCGATAATGCTAAAAGGATTTACATTTACATTGGCTGTGTATCTTATTTCACTTAAGTATGTATACTTTAAGTCATTTACGTTACGTAACGTAAATGACAATACCTGGCTACAGCGCATTTTTCTGAAAAAAAATTAACTCAGTTCAAAACAAGCAATTCATATTTCAATAACATTAGACTGTCCCTAAAAGTAGATGCAGTTTGGTTTGTATTCATATGGCTGTTGCGTTGAAACGCCAAGTTAACAACATCACGTAAATGACCGCCAACCTTAAAATATACCCAATTAGTAATGCATAGTCAGGGATTTTGTGACAAAAACTGCTAGCTAGCAGACTCATTCAGTTTCTTGTCATATCTGTGATACATTCAACTTTTAAAAACGCATTAAATACATCATCGAGGGAATCTGTCCAAATTTAGATGAACTTTCTTTGCTGAGTAACGTAAGTGACTTGAATTCATGCGACACACGTGAAAGATGACATAGAAATACCCAGGAAACTTCTTCGGCCATTATTGATGCCTCATTTTTTTACTTAAATACAACCCTTTTCTAAAAATAAGAGACAAAGTTACCAGGGGATGGTTAAATGTTTCTTTTTGGCCCTGATATTTTACTTTTTCTGCCAGCGACATTGTGTTGTAGGCAATAAAGCTTATATCTACGACCCTTTAAAGTAATTTAGAAGAAAAAATTCAAGGCAATATGATCACATTTTTTTTTAAAGATGGTCATTGTTGCACAACATAAATAGAAAATGCACAAAACTACGTGCAAAGGCACTCAAAATATTGTTTTTTCTTATGCGACTTCGCTTGCTCACGTTATCAGAGAATGAGTGAAACAGCTGAAGATTATGAAAGCTTAAAATTGTCTCTATCAAACGTGATCAAGGAAGTCAATGACATTGAAAAACAGAGCTACATAGAAGTTGATAAAGTTAAAATAA